CACAACGTCAAGCTACTGCAAAACTCATCGGCAGTCTTCTGTTAGACAAGTATAAAGACCCAAAAACAATATACACTCCTAATGACATAATTGGAGACACGAACAAGCAGTATGGTCTTCAGATGACATATATGCAAGCATGGAGATCGAAAGAATATGCAGTTCAAGTACTAAGAGGGAACCCGAGCGAATCATATGAAAAGCTGCCAAGTTACTTTTATATGCTGGTTCATACAAATCTTATGTCGGTGGTAAGTTTGAAAAAAATAGAGGAAGACTTGTTCATGTATGCTTTCGTTGCACTATATCCGTCTATAAAAGGATGGCAGTATTGCAAACCGATTGTTGTTGTAGATGGAACCTTTCTTAAATCGGCACATAGAGGAACATTATTGATAGCATTAACACAAGATCCAGCAGGTAATATCCTACCACTCGCATATGCCATAGTAGATTCAGAGAATAATGCTTCCGGGAGTGGTTTTCGCGAGATTCAAGGATGCATTTGGGGAAAGGGAGGGAATGTGCATAGTCTCGGACATGCATGAAGGCATTGACAATGCAGCGGCAACATTGTATCCACCAGTACCTCTTTGTGTCTGCATATGGCATCTATGGAATAATGTAAAAAAAATTACAAAAAAAACCATTTGCTGCTCAAAGAAATATTCTTTGCTATGGCCAAAGCATACACAGTTGAGAAGTTTGATTACCACATGGCAGAGGTAGAGAAAATTGATAAGAGGGTCAAAGATTACTTAATGAATGTTGGGTATGAAAGATGGTCCAGAGCACATTCCACTGTCAACAGAACATTGACGATGACTTCAAACATTGCGGAGTCGATCAATGCAGCGCTCAAGGCTGCTAGGGAACTCCCAGTACTGCCTTTGCTAGACTACATAAGGAAATTGATCGGACGATGGAATGTTACAAACCTAAAGAATGCAGTAGGTCATTCACTGATCTTGGAAAAAAATATGATACAATGCTGATGGACAATCTTGAATTGTCACATCAGATGAAGGTATGACTGGAATCTGTAGATACTTGCGCATAGAATATGTAATCATGCCGAATTTCACGGATCTGTTATATCTTGAACCCTTTGTGTGATTATGTTAAACTAGTGTCCACCTGCACAAAAGCACGGGCTTTCAAGCTAATGTAGCATTTATGCCTACCCCACTGCTGAAATATTGGTTGGTTTGACATGATATTAAGTTATTTTGAATCTTGTAGGCTCTCTAGTATATGTATTTTGAGGGCATCTGCTTTGTCACCACTAATGATAGTTGATAAATTTTGTAGGTGACCCCTTCGACAAGTTACTTATATTCAGTACTTGACAAGGGTAAGCAGAGAATAGTGTTCCTAAAAGATCGAACTTGCAGCTGTAAAAGGTTTCAGTTGGATGAGCTGCCATGTGCACATGCTTGGGCAGTATTAAAATACAAATACATTGATCACATTGAGTATTGCTCGGTGTACTACACCATGAAGTACCTATTGAAGACCTATGAAATTCCAATTTATCCGGTTCCTGATGAAAGCACATGGGAAATTCCTGCAGAAGTTCTAAATGAAAAAGTCTTGCCACCAGACGTGACTAAAACAATAGGAAGGCCAAGGAAGGGGAGGTGCAAGCCAATATCTGAAGGGAACGAAAAAGGTCGATTTCATGTGGACAGTGTGGAAAGAAGGTCACAACAGGAAAACTTGTAGAAATAATCCTAAGAGAGGATGAAATATGTCAAATTTAGAATTACTTTTTATTTTACTTTACTGAATATCATAGAGATTTAGAAGAATGCAATATATCAAGAACTATATCATTGTAGAATGTCATTTGAATTTTAGATATAAATAAATATTTGACCTATCATTTAAAATCGTGTTGCAAGTTTATATTATACATCTGTTTGATTAAAAAGAAGTTGTATCAGCTATGTATCATATTTGTATCATATATGTATCGCTTGTGCATCACATTTGTATCATCTATATATCGCTTGTGTATCACCTATGTATCTCTGTGTATAGGCTCTTACTCATGCCTGTATTTGTGTAGTAACAAAGCTAACTAATGGAAAACAATCGTAGCAGCTAGAAAACTATGCAAATAGTTTTAGAAATTTGCAAATAAGAGTGGCTTCATCAATACATATTTGAAAACTGTGTATCATATGTGTATTATATCTGTATCATATGTGTATCATATCTGTATCATGTATGTATCATGCGTGTATCTGCAAGAGACAATGTATCACAAACTACCGTATATTTTTCATATCTATAATTCACAACACAAAATCAAGGGAGAAAACACCAAAATAAACTAAACTGCAACAATCCAATATCGCACTGAAACTCATTAAACCTTTATAACAGAGCAAACATCTCATTTTCCATACAATTCTTAAAAGTATTCGTAAAATTCAAACACAAATAAATCTGATCCGTCTTACAACAATGACAACATATCAGAACACAATACAAAAACAAAATTATAGAGTTCATCCTGCAACAATGACAAAATAACTACTTCTTCTACTTCCGCGACTTATTCTGTCGACCAATAATCTCATCATCACTTTGCGCGTTCAGTTCCATCTTCTTTCTAGCATAATCCCACAAGAGAGCACCAAATCTGCGCCGGTGTACATAGGCATGGAATTTTTTAGGTGGCGTCTTGCCTTCAATGAAATACTCGGCAAATGATGCCGCAAATACACCGCAATCACTGCAAAAATAAAAAAACAACAACTATCAAACTGCAGAATCTAAAAACAAGACAGATTGTGTTGAAAGAAATTCATACGCTTCAACTTGTTGAGGCAATCCTTCGACCAGTTTTACATAAAAGGGGGTAATCAAGTCTTTTGATTTATAGACACCAGTGCGCCAATTGATATCTTTTTTGTTTAAATAGAAATGCGTGTGCACGAAAAAATGAGGCAGCAACACAGAATACTTGGCCATGGTCTTATGAACTTTGTCTTGATGAGCAGCTCCACCGCGCATAGAGTCATACACATAAATGCACCTATCCTTGAAGGACATCACAGCCATTATCCAATGCCATTGTTCTGCAACATTAATTGGCATTAAGACATGCTCGACAGTGTGCCATGGAACATTGGCATCCAAGACAAACCCCTGAATATACTCTGCAATGACATATTTCGGAGTGCACACATCACTGTCTCCATCTGTATCAATAAAAGCCTGCCACAACTCATTAATTTTCTCGTCGAAGTACCAATCTGTGGTGGTGAATGTTACAGGTAGATCTTTGTCATACTTCCCTTTCTTTCTCAGATAATAGAACAAAACATCAACGTGCTGAAACAAAACATAACAAATAACTAATCACTAAAGGCTCGTAAGCTTTAAGCAGCTACGGTTTTTCAAACCAAAATCACAGAAAACAAAGGAAAATAAATGCTCACTGCTATCTCTTGTGCCAGGAAATAGCAATTAATAATCTGTTCTAACTTAAGAGGACTGAGCGTTCATGTGTACACTGGCTAATTTTGAAAAAAAAAATACTGCAAAAGTAAATTCTTACATACCGAGTCATCCAAGAGCTGACCATTATATGCCAAAGTGTGAAACCATTTTTTGCTTCAACATGAAATACACCAAGATCATAAGCAGGATTGAGTTCACTAACATGCTTCGGGTAAATTTCATTCCTGGTAACATATATACACAAAAGAGTACAGTGATTTGATATAAAATAATGCTATAAGTGACAATATATTAAAATATAAAACTGAAAAAAACTCAGAAGTTGGAAACATACTTCTTTCTGGACTTCCCTTCTTTGACCCACGCAGCAAATACATTCAACAAAGAGCTGTTAACGCCAGTTCCGATTTTGCTTTGAAAAGGATGCTTAATAGCATAAATTTGCTTTTTTCCTTTCGCTGCAACAACACCAGTACTGGAACCTGAATCAAACACAGTAATGAACGGAGACTGCACGGCCTTTGCAGGACATCTCTTTCTTTTTTCCATTTGCGGCGATACTTCAGGAAGTAATTCAGCATTGTACAGAACCATCTCCCCTGCCGCCTCATCAACACTTGCAGTCGCACAAACAGCACCAGTCCGAGATTCAGGAACCTTTTGTTTCTCAGATTCTTCCTCCGTCTCCCCTGCCGCCGCATCAACACTTGCAGTCGCACAAACAGCACCAGTCCGAGATTCAGGAACCTTTTGTTTCTCAGATTCTTCCTCCGTCTCCCCTGCCGCCGCATCAACACTTGCAGTCGCACAAACAGCACCAGTCCGGGATTCAGGAACCTTTTGTTTCTCAGATTCTTCCTCCGTCTCCCCTGCCGCCGCATCTGCAATCTCACCAATACCGCCAGCATGTGCTACATCTGGTGTGAAAGTTACTTTAGCAACAAACATGTCAACTTTCACACCAGAAGGTCCTTCCATAGCATTGACACCTAACTGATCTGCTACACTAGTATCTCTTTGAGAATGTGGAACATCTTTGCCTTCACTTCCACCAACCTATTTGTTTAAAAAAGAATCGAATTATCAAAAACAACAAAGAAAAGAAAAGGGAAAAGTGCAGAATGCACAACTAAACACACCTGACAACCATCCATTTCAACATCTTCATTGCCACCAAACTCCATATTGCTCACAAAATCATTATTGTCTTGACGACCACTGGTGTCTTCCTCTGGATGTGCACCATATTTGACTTCGCTTGCACCAAGCTATTTTTAAAAAAAGGATATAGTAAGTTAACTAAAAAATAAAAAGAAATGCACAATGGAAAAGAAACACATACCTTGGAATTTATCAACTCAAAGAGCTCCTTGAATTTATCAGAAACATAATCCATGAAGGAATTTAACTGCTTATGGAGCTACAAGATGAAACAAATAAGAAAGATAATAGACTTGAATATACAATTTGAACAATACTTTCAAGAAAATATATAAAAAAGACCAATACATACTTGCTTCACATCAGCTTTCAACTTCTGCAACTCACGGTCATAATCAACAGGTTGGACACCTGGCGCGTTTTTTGGCGCCTTTTTTGGTGGGACAGGCTCCTTAATTTGTTTCCGGGGTGGCGTGACAAAATCATCGCTATCATCAATAGGAAGTTTTCTCCTGTTACGTGATATGAAATATTTCTGATACTCATCGGTAACTTCAACAGGCAAAGTAAATCTCCTTAGCTCTTCAATTATCGGAGAAATATTTTTAAACTACAAAGGTAACCAAAAGTGATTCAGTCCTAGATGTATCAAAGATGTATAAAAACTGTATGTTTGATGTATCACAATGAATTACAGTGTATTATAAATGCATATCGCATTAAGATATAAAAGATGGTACCTTATTCCCTGTGCTTTTGAAGAAACCAATAGAGAAGTCCTCATGCGTTGGCCTGTCTGTCATTTCCCAATTCAATATGCGTGGTGTATGATTTCCAACGCGAACAACAAACTTTTGATCAACTACAGTACAACATTCATAGAACCACACCTGTAGTGCAAGAGGAAATCCACCAATCCTATAAAACTCAGACTTTCCCCTCAACCTGTCCCTCATCGACTTCATTAAAGCTCGAAACGCAATCTTACCCCATGGAAACGACACATACTCACCACTCTCGACAAGATGGATATCACGTTTACTTATAAATGTCTTCTGAGCCTGAGTGGACATTAGAAATGTGTTTATGAAATAAATGATTGCATCTTAACTGCGTCTTCATCAGACTGCCATTTCTTCTTCTCAAGATAATCAATAAGTGACTTCTTTGACACCACTTCAAAACCAGAAAAATAAGTATCCACCAACCTATTGGGTCCACTGAATTTACCCTCTACATGTTCATTACCACAACAGTTTAAACCACTTACAATACCAAATTCTCGAAGACCAAAACGTAAAACACATTCGTCATTCAATTTCACATAAAATTGATCACACTTATCTTGAACCAACTCCCTAAACATTAAAGAACGAATAAGTTGTGCCTGGATAGCAACTCGAGGTAAATCAAGGAAATAGCCAAAACAGCTTTCCCTAAACATCCGAAGCTGGACATCAGTCAACTTTGACTGTAAAACCGATACAATGTCCACATTAGTGTATGATGACCAATGAGTAACAGAAAATGGCTCACCAACTAGAATATAGAGCTTCCGAGGCTACAAATACATGACACGAATTAAAAACAATCAAATACAAACTAAATCCAAATTTTAAAAGAAAAGTCAACAATAGAAAAAATTATAACTGAAATTGTATATACCTTACAAACTTTGTCAAGAATTTTAACTTTTTCTGCCTTCTGAACCTTGTTTTTTTTGGTTTGACACCCAAATTCACTTCGTCCTCCACGACACGTTTTCTCTTACATTGATCAGCATCCATTATAACCCTCTTGCTCTTCTTTTTCTCAGATTGTCCAACAATATCCTTTCGAGATTCTAACACTTTAACACTGTCGGAACGATTTTGTCTTCGCATATTTTGTTCATCAATCGATTTCTCAACTAAAATCGGGGTTGAATAAGGAGATAAACTCATCGACCTAGTTTCTCTTCTCATGTTGCTCGATTTCTCAATTGAAACCGACTTTGAATAAGGTGATGAATTCATCGAATGAGTTTGTCTTCTCATATTGCTCTGTTTCACAATTGAAACTAGGTTCAATGACAAAATTTAAAAAAAAAATATACGAACAAAAGGTTATAGAAATTTGTGAAGAAATTAATACAAAAACTCGACCAAAACTTACAAAATCAGTCGCAAAAGCCTAAAGAAAAGCAACATCGATTCTACAAAAACACAAGCAATCAGAAAAATATACAAAATAAGAGGTTTTCTACTCCAAATTACCTGGAATCAGACGAAAATAACCGAAAATGTATCTTGTTTTGTCGTCAATTTCAGCAATTTTGGTTGAATTTAGGAAAAAATCGCAGAAAGAGAGAGAGAGAGAGAGAGAGAGAGAGAGAGAGAGAGAGAGAGAGAGAGAGAGAGAGAGAGAGAGAGAGAGAGAGAGAAAACTCGGTGTTGTATACGAAAAATAACGGATACAAAAAGTGACATTGATTGAAACTATTTGGGCCAAAAAATGACATTTGGGCCTTTTTTAGTAGATATTTTATTTTGGGCTATTTTTTGTTAGGAAAGTTTGTAAAGTGACATAGCTGGTAATTTCCCTTCATTTAACTGGATTCTAATAACTAACCAAATTATATTTAGTCACGTAATATTTACTTGGAGTAATATATATTTTGAATTTATAACATAATCTAGATTGTTTAGGGATTCCAATTTACAAATGCCTCTAATTTAAGGCTTCTCCAAGTCTAAACTTGCTCGAAAAATAAGACAAAGTATTCGTGAACACAGATCACTCGTGTCTTGTCTTTTTGGATCTATTGCAAAATAAAATAAGATGCAATTTTTATTTCCAATTCTACATCGAAAAATCAGCCGTTGATCACATGAAAAGCGTAAAAGTGAAATCAGGTAACAACTCTAACAGGCTGCTATTTAGGAATTAACTAATGTATTATAAATTTCAGTTTGTCAATTCAATTTTTCGGGACACAAATATTGTAAATTGTCCTGAAATTAAAATTTTCAGTTCAAAATTTCAAGACAAAATAAGTATTGGCTAATCCTTGCATAGCATTCCTAAGAATAGTTATTTGTGCACTTCGCCAGTGAAAGCTATGCTTCGGCTCAACAATTTATGCAAAATGCCCGTCAAGCTTAAACTAATTAACCTTCTCTACCCATTTGAAAATTAGTTATAATATATACCTACCCAATTAAAACTAATTACCCAACCTACCTACCCATACCACTTTTCTTATCATTTGGCTTAATTGATTTGGCTTGGATTGAATTGGCTTGTCTTGGTTTTAGTAGCTTAGTTTGACTTTATTTGGTTGTAAGGACTGGACATTAAAAAAAATGGGTAAGAGAAAAACTTTATGGGTAAGGACGAGTAAATAGTTTGTGGCGAGTGGGTATTTGCAAAAGTTTTTTTGGTAAAAATAGCACGGGCTAGCTAGTTTTCAGACTGGTCATTCAAAAATAGCCAGCGTTTGCAAAGTCATTGAAAAATAGCCACTATTTTGCTGCAACACGGAAAGTTCCAGTATGATATACTGGAGATCGGTGCACTTGTGTATGAACTTCCAGCATATTATGCTGGAATTCCAACACACGAAAAGTTCCAACATAATATATTGGAGATTGGAGCACCTGTGTATGAACTACCAGCATATTATGCTGGACCGATATATTATACTTGAACTCCAGTATATTATACTGGAACTCCAGTATAATATACTGCAGTTCCAGTATACTTATGCTGGAACTCCAGTATAATATACTAGAGTTCTAATATACTTATGCTACCGGAGTTCCAGTATATTATACTGGAATTCCAATATATTATACTTGAGTATTTTTCGGATTTTGAAAAGTGTTTTCGTTCAGATTTATCTTTACATGAAAAATGGCAAATTTTCAATTACTTTTCAAACTGTGGCTATTTTTGAATGACCACTTGTAAATCTGGTTATTTTTGAATTTCTTCCGATTTTTTGTCCTTACAAATTTGCGGGAGAAATTTAAAAATAGCCAGATTTACAACTGGTCGTTCGAAAATAGCCCAATTTCAAAAGTCATCGAAATTTAGTCACTTTTCATGTAAAGAAAAATCTGTTCAAAAACACTGTTCAAAACCCGGAAAAATACGCCAGTATATTATGCTTGAGTTCCAGCATAAGTATACTTGAACTCCAAGATATTATATTGGAGTTCCAAGATAAGTATGCTGGAACTCCAGCATAATATGACGGAGTTCCAGCATAAGTATACTAGAACTCCAGCATAATATACTGGAGTTCCAGCAAGTATACCGGTCCAGCATAATATACTGGAGTTTGGAGCACCGGTGCTCCAGTCTCTAGTATATTATACTGGAGCCAGCAAAGTATACTGGTCCAACATAATATGCTGGACTTCATATGCACCGAACTCCAGTATATTATGTTGGACCGGTCTCTGCTGCAGCAAAATAGTGGCTATTTTTCATTGACTTGGTAAACGTTGGCTATTTTTGAATGACCATTCCGAAAACTGGCTATACCGTGCTATTTTTACCAAATTTGCAAGACGTGTAATTTTAAAGCCCAACTTAAATCCTACTGTTAATAGGATCGAAGCTTTACTAGTTACTATGAAGGTTGGCTTTGACTAATTGATATTCGAAGCTATATATAGTGAAAGTTCAGTAGTAATTTTTGTAAAAATTGCACGGGCACCCTATTTGGTCACCCCCATTTAATCTATACTCATATTTTTAAAATTATTTAATTTATACTCTAATTTTTACAACTTCAGGCGCCTCCTTTCTTTTCCTCCTCTTCTTCTCGTGATCACCAAGTAAGGACTTCAAAGATATCCTCTCTGGGTATACTAAATCCAGTGAACCATTTTGGTACTGCTTTAACATGTACTGACAAGTTTTGTCTTTGTTTGAAGCCTTGCATCATTTTTCATGGATGAGATTGATGCAATTGGTAGACGTCGATTTTGTGAGGGAACAAGTGCAGACCGTGAAATTCAGAGAACGCTCATGGAGTTGATTAATCAGTTGGATGGATTTGATCAGCTTGGAAAGGTCGTTGATCTTAGTTCAGCAAATATAAATAAACACTTTACCTCCCAGAATACTAATTGAGCAAATACAAAACAAATTTCAGCCTCACAAACATAACAAAGCTTAAGCTAAAATATGCTGAAGTTCAGCAAATATAGAACAAAACTTCAGCTAAAACATGCTGAAGTTCAACAAATAGAGAACAAAACTTCAGCTACTAGAATGCTTAAGTTCAGCAATTACAAATAAAAACTTCAGCCAATACTAAGTTTACGCGAAAAACTTAAGCTAAAACATGCTGAAGTTCAGCAAATAGAGAACAAAACTTCAGCTAGTAAAATGCTTAAGTTCAGCAATTACAAACAAAATTTCAGCCAACACTAAGTTTACGCGAAAAACTTCAGCTAAAACATACTGAAGTTCAGCAAATAGAGAATAAAACTTCAGCTAGTAGAATGTTTAAGTTAAGCAATTACAAACAACTTCAGGCCCGTCTACTAGAATGCTGAAGTTTGCATGATTGCCTTTGCTACTTCAGGCCCGTATGCCTGAAGTTTACGCGAAAAGTGGTACGTCTGCAATTTTTTTGCAAAGCGGGTATAAGTTAAAAGGTGACCCAAAAAGCGGGTATAGATGCAAATCTCCCTAATTCTTTTGCTATAAAAATTAGTTTGATGATTTTTTTTAAGCATATATATAAGTTCAATAAATTTTGTAATTATACCATGTTTTACATTTAATTCTTCTCGGATTAATATTATAGTACAAAGTAATGAACCTAGTAAAACACGCCCAAAATTATCCTGTCAATGTAAAGAGTACAATCGTGTCGTGGAGAAAATAAAAAGTAAGAGTACAATCTGTTAAAAACATGGTATAATAGATGCAAAGCTCGTAGCGCACACTGCCATTATTGAACTACAAAATCTACAACAAAATACAGTAAGGCAGAGATATCTTACCCCTTACTCTCATGGCTCTACTATCATCATCATCGAAAGGTGTGGTAATATCTCTGCCGGTGCTGGTTCTCACCGGTGCCGCCTTTTCTGCTGTACTCCTCTTCTTTCTTTTCTCCTCACCACCACCTCCAGCTCCGTGTAATTGCCTCGTCACTCCAACAACCACCAAAGTCGCCGCCGTTGGTGGATCCAGATCCAGCGTGGGAGAGAGGATCTCGACGACAATAGAGGATATAGAATGGGTGAAGAAACAGATCGAGGGAAATGGACTCCATATGGCGGACAATGTGCTGCGCAAAGGGATCAACCCTCGTACTCGCCAACAACAGCTCCAGGATCTACTTCAGTATGAAACTTTTCCAATTTATGTTTAATTTGATTTAGCAGTTAAAAAGATCATGCTTTTATTGTGATTCTGTAATTTTGTTGAACTTCATGATAGTTTTGTGGTTTTATTGGAATTTGTTTATTCTTAGGAAGTACTAAGTGACTGCAGATTAAGTTAGAAAGATATCCAGTCGAAGCATCTGCGAGTTCATGCTTTTTTAGTATAATTACTACTTGGCGGTTTTGTTTCTAGTGTTCTAGATTTTTACTTTTGAATTAGATCTTTGCGAGAGTTTTAACAATCTAGTTAGTATAATATAGGTGGAAATTGATATAGAATGTAGACGAACTTATATGATTAACTTAATCTTTAATCTATATCTAAAGAAAGATAATAATGGCTTCTATGGTAAAGTAAGCATTTGTGTTTTTCAAAGGCTATGTGCAGGGGAGTAGAAAATGAGTAAGAAGGCAATGAGTCAAAAGCTCCATATTACTTATCTCTGAAAAAAAGTTTCGTGTGGCTAACTTTTGATTTGTATAAGGAGAAATAGATGATTAGGAAGCGATTGCACAGACATCTATTTTTGCATTGTCCAGTTGCTACAGATACAGATATCTGGAACATGTTCCTTTCAGTTTTAGGACTCAACTGGGTGATGCGAGAGAGCATTAAAGATGCTTATAGTAGCTGGAGTCTATGGAAAGTTGGTAAATCCATCAGCAAGATCTGGAAAATGCTTCCTGGATGTATTTTTTTGGGCTGTTTGGACAGAAAGGAATAGAAGATGTTTTGATGGTTTAGCAACTCCAAATTACTCCTTGAAGGCTAATTGTATAGTTTTGTTATATAGCTGGAGTAACCTCTCCCCTAGTAGCTCCCCTGAATTATTTTTGGAATCTGTTAGCTCCTTCACCCTAGCATAGGACCATCTGCACAGAGCTAACATATCATCTTTTGTATTTGCATCTTCTTGATGCTTTTTATAATATCTCTTACTTTCATAAAAAAAGAACAGATTGCACTTTTTGAAGTATTAGTAGAACATGAAACATAGCTCTAACGAGAAACATATATGCATTTTAATGGAACTTCTTCTCTCTTATGGTTTTACCGCCCTCTTTCTCTGTCTGTCTCTTTCTTTCCTTTCTATTTGAAAGATAACGGGTACACGTCTGTAGTTCAAGTCACAGATAGGCAATGGGAAATTTTTTAATAGGTGCTTTCCTCTTTTTTGCATGAAGAACAATCTATGGTTTGGCAAAAGCAAAGTAAAATTATAGGGATATTCAATTGTTTAAGACTCTAATGGCTACCAACTTTTGTTTAGTTTCTTCTTTACTTATGTTCACGACTTCTTTATTTTCTGTAATTTTATTCATTTCTTCTTTTCACTCTGCATTCACGTATGTATTATTGCAACTTCCTGATGAAACGATCTTTTACTTTTCCAAGTCGGTTTCCAGTCTGAATTGTTCATCAAGTGCTAGTGTTAGTGGCTAGTAAGTCGTAACTTGGCATGTTAATGTAACTTCTTTGTTTTTTCAGGTTCAAGGGCATATCACACTATGAAGGAGAAGAAGCAAATAATCACACGGCCCTTCCTTGTCCTGGTGAACTCCTTGTAGAAGAGCACCATAGCAATTATGGAGAGCCATGGGCAGGAGGGCGGGATGTTTTTGAATTCCTTGCAGAGTCAGCCCATCTAACTCCAGATTCCCAAGTTCTTGAGATTGGATGTGGGACTCTTCGTGTTGGATTACATTTCATCCGGTATTTGAACCCAGAACACTTCCAGTGTCTCGAGAGAGATGAACTTTCTTTAATGGCTGCATTCAGGTATGAGCTTCCCGCTCAAGGTTTATTAAACAAGCGCCCTCTTATTGTTAGAGGTGAAGACATGGATTTCAGTAAATTCGGATCCGGAACCATGTATGATTTGATATATGCAAGCGCTGTGTTTCTTCATATGCCTGATAAACTTGTTTGGGTTGGTTTGGAGAGGTTAGCTGGTAAATTGAAACCTTTAGAAGGTCGAATCTTTGTGTCACATAATATAAAGTTTTGTTCACGATTGGGAGGAGAAGAATGTACAAAGAGGCTGAAGAATTTAGGGCTGGAGTATATTGGCAAGTTTACCCATGATAGTTTGCTATTCAATCACTATGAGATTTGGTTTGGATTTAGGCGAGTCACGGCTTGAATTCATGTAGAGAGTTGTTTGAAGACCTAATATTCTTATGCCAACAGCTATCAGGCTGCGTTTGAAAGCACGCTTTCATCGTGTACATTCTTTTGTTGCAATTCACTACTCGAAGTTTCGCACGAAATCCATCTTTGTCGTTCTGTGTAAGAGATGCTTCAATTTCCTGCTTGGAGGTGGATCATCATTGTCGGATCCTAACCTTGAAGAATCGAGTTTTAGCTATAGCGGCTGACGATGTGGAGAAGAAATGATTTGTTGCAGTAAAGCTGATATATGAGACAAGGTTATGATATGTTACCATACCTGAGTTTGTAACCTTTGCACTAAATTGAACATCTAGATGTAGCAGGTCTTTTATCATCTGCTATTTGTGCATTATTTAATGACGTATGTAGCATGCACGCTACATGTTATTCTTGCTTCTAGATTTGTTTAATGCAGTTTGGAATTCTTTTAGTGAATGAGGTAAATCATTTCCCCCCTTCAAGTTATTTCCGGAGAAGATTTGCATTACAAAAGTACAAAAACTCAGTTCCTTCTGTACATGTAACGAACTAAGGATTCTACTCTGCTTCAGGTACCTCTGTCATCCTACTCCAAAAGGCTAGCACAAGGATACATCTTATTTCGATCTGATTACATTCCTTCTCTCATATATCAATAGTTCAATACAAATACGCGCGCGCACACACACATCCTTCTCCTTCAAAAAGGTCTGACTTCTTTCCCTATGTGGAGCATATGTAGCTCTACATTCAGACAGTTGATAACCCTTTGGGGAAACTTGACCCCTTTTTGCTGATGAAAGTGGTATAACTCAGGATGGAGAACATCAACATTTTGAGTCTGTGCAATTGGATAGAACTACTTGTACAAATGAGATTTGAACTAAAAGGATATTGATGGTTGGTGGTTTGAGCACCTCTCTACCCTTTGATGACTTTCATCAACTGAACTTTTTTTTTCCAAAACTGCAGGAATTAGTTAGTTTCAGTGGTGACTTGATTAAGTTTCCATATTCTAATATGGGTCACTTGATTATTTTTCAATCTAACATTGGACATTGATTCGTTTACTCTTTGAAATCTAAATTAGTGAGAACTAAATTTTGTGTAATGAAAATTTTAGAATAAAAGAGCAAAATTAACGTTTAAGTCGACTAGCTAACAAGGTCGTACCAAGACAACTATTCACTTGTCGCGGGTCTCCTATTTTGTTGTAAGTGACATTTTCACCTGTCAAGTGACACGTCTCTCTTTCCTTACCAGCTCAGCTCTCGACAAAAACGAGAAGGGGCTTCATTCCTCTAACCTTAGAATAGAATGCAACCGACCTACACATTACTGATTGTCAAATAAAACAATTTTAACTTTTTAAATTAGTTGGATGTAGAAGTGGATTTCTTGAAAAATAAAATACTGAACATGTTGCGACAAACCAAAAAGGAATCAAGCATGAGTGAATTGCTTGTGTACAGTAATCCCACAAAGATAAACATTCTAACTTATTTGAGTTTGCTAGAAAAAAAACTAAGGAATTCAATAGGATCATCCCATGATAATAAATCCAATCTTACAAATTTATACCAAACATTACAGTAATCCTCAATGTCGAGTTGCGATCAGCTGCTTCCCGTAAAAGATTACTGTCGCAAGAAATTTGGTATACAATAATCATGTGATTCAAAAGGAACAATTGCAAGAAATTTAACCTCCCCAAATCGAGGGTTGAAAATCATTATTTCCAGAAGTATGCTCCTAGTATCTTGCGGCCAACACAGATATCTGAAGGTGGGCCATCTATTTCATTACATTAGTATTAAGCAAATCTGAAAAAATTCCTGAGCTCTAAGAAGGTACCAGAAATCATCTTCAAATTATTGAAAACTGAGATGTCTCAATGCCAGTGGAGAGCCTTAAAACAAAACTACCATTATATGTCACAAATCAAAAAATAAAAAACGTCCGTAACAGAAGCCAAATGCTCAGCATTTCTAATAAACAAACTTGTACTGCAGTAGTTCCTAAACACCACCCTGATCATAATGCTGCTGTTGAAGCACCTCTTGCTCAAATTCAGCGTTAATGATTATAGAGAATGAAGTGATCTACTTGTAATGCTGAGAAACCTCCCATACAGCCTTATCCATGAACTGGCATTTCTTGTCAAATCCCCACCCTGGGTTGCTCTGTTTAGATAGATAACTGTCAGATATTGCGCCATAGTAGAAACTTAAGAAGCGAGCGTCCAGGTAATAGATGAAACATTTAAAGATATCTTTATTTCTAGATTCATGGTTACTTGACGAAAAGAAATAAATAGATCAACTGCAATAAGAACTTTCAAAGGAAGAAAAATCTTCGATACAAAAAGAAAAAAGAAAAATTATGATAAACTGATTATAGTCAAATTGAACGCCACAAAAAAGGTAGGCATCCATAAAAAGCAATGTCTAGTCCCTCAACATTCATGATACACTTCCACAACAGCAACATGTCTACAAAATTCCACTGAGTATATTAGAAAAAATGGGTGGTTGTGCTAGTCTTTTTTAAAACTACTAGTAATCAGGGAAGACAGTTATTCTTTTATAAGTAAAAGACGATAACAGTTAATTGGCAGGAATATTATAACTAAATAAAGAAGATAGTTGATTTCTTGTCTAATAAGTTAGTTTTTCTTTTCTTTTATGCTCAGAGAGGTGTCTTTCATTCTTAGACCAATTTGCTATGTCTCAACTTTCAAATAATGACGTTTCAAACTGTTTCATTCTTATTAGGCTTAAGCTATTACTGAAAGCAAATAACCAGTTGATAATACTTGACCTGTAGAGACAGAACAGCACGCTCCGTGAACCGCTTTACTGAATTAGGTGCACTTTGCGGAAGAGTTTTTGCCACTCTTTCCAGCTCTTGTTGCTGTTGTTTTGCCGTGACTCTGTCAGGTCCACTGTAGTAATCAACAATCTCTTTCATAAGTGGGACTGTCTCCATAGTTTCTTCGATGACTTTCTGAGAGGGGAAAAACAAATGTAATGCCAGCTGAAGAAGATGATCAATAAAGAAGAAGGTGCCAAAGGAATAACCGCTTAATTGAGTTCACAACAAGGAATAAGACCATTAAGTCAAACAGACGCAATTCTCCATTCAATGGACAAAACATTGGGAAATGTTTTGAGGTTTAAACTCATGATCCTTGCAAGCTATGTTGCGTGGACTCTCCAAAATGTAGCCGCACCCGTGTCGGATCCTTAAAAAATGCATTACTTTTGGAGGATCCGACACGTATCCGGCCACATTTTCGGAGAGTCCGAGCAACATAGCTTGCAAGACATGGCTTCTTAGGAGATTCCACAGTTGAAAATAGAACTGGGAATAAAATGAGACCACACAAAAGTAGATGATAATCTATAAGCGTCACAGACATAATATTTTAGAGCAAAAGTGAAAATCACCAATCGGAATATTAAGGACTACATGCAAAATAAGCAAGAAATAATCAGATAACCTAATCTAATGTACATTAAGTGAGGTTTCATCCTATTCGTCTTGCCATTCAGCCACATTATTGGGCAATTCAGACATTTCTGCTCTTTTACCTTTCTTTTACTAGAAGGTTGCGCTTTGGCTTAGGTGATTTGAGCTGGTGGTCTAGCCAGATACTGCCCCCTCAAGGATTTTCGAATTTGCTTTATTTCCACTTGGAATCTGGCGATGAAGAATTACTATTATGTCCTCAATTTGGTTTATCCTTCGCGTTTTGTTCATGGAACACGGTCTAAGATGAACTTAAAAGGGGAACGTGGTCAGTGAGATTCATATAGCTAAGTCGACTTTTTTAATTGATCCTTCTTTGTAGGAAACTTCCACAAAAACTTCTTTTTCAGAAGGCTTGATTGAAAAGCCTGAGACTTATGCAAACTGCCACTAGAATCTCCAAATGTTCAGGAATCTAGAGTCCACTGCATAATCACTATAACTACATGTGCCTTCAATCCTTCTTTCGCGCTACTAGTCTACACATAAATTTGTGTACTACTCTAGATTCCAATTGTAGCAGCGCATTGCTGTACCATGCCCTAAAGAACTTGTGAGTTTGTCAGCCTAATATTCATACCACCACATCAATACTAGTGTAGTTCATACATTAGGTGCACCAGCCTCTCCCATTTTCTCCCATTGTCGTGGAATTTACTATTTTGTTGCAGAGGGGTCCAGACATAGCAATATTTCTTTATGAACATGCTTAGTTGGAGAATCTGGCTTTTATGCAGTTCCCAAAGATCTTTTTTTCTTGGAGAGGTAAGGCAGGAAACAATTTCAAAAGATCTTCAATAACCAAAAAGGCATCACATAGGCTTCTTTTTGCATATAGGGCAAACTACTTTAAGAAGAGATTGACAGCTGAATTTTTAATACTGGAAATGATATAGAAGCACTTAAAAGACAGATGAGACAGATCACATTTGTTGTGGGTGATACTATACTCGATAAATTTCCAAGTAGGAATCAGTGAAGTCCTCTAGGCCATAGGTTTAAGAAATAAACGTGAGTAGAGGCAATAAAGTACCATACATAATTGCTCAAACATTTTAGCTATCCGTGAAGCATAAAGCGTAAAAGCAAATTAAAGCAGAAAGAGACATAGAAATATGAAGATCTTACAAGCACATAGTTCAAATAATAGGTCAAATCACAGAGAGAGGAAATGGCAGCATGGTTTAAGAATCTAATATTATATCAGATAAGGTTATCGGTATAAGTAATTAGACCCTTCCAACGTGGTATTACAGAATGAAGATTCACCATGGGGACAAAACCGAGTATCATGAATCCATGATAAACTAGATTTGAAATCAACAAATATTGAATATTCCAGAACATAGTTATGGCAACAAAAAGACAGCAAACAGTTTATACAGCAGTATGCAATAAGACAAAAGCAGAAGCAAGTTGGATCTCAATTTACCTCCCACTCTTCTTGATCCTTAATCCCTTCATATGCCATGAGGAATGGCTTCATCTTTTCAAGAGCATCCCGAAGGGAAATTGGAGGCTTCTCATCAATATCAGGATTGCTTTCAAAGTCTCCCATCAGGTACTCTGGTTCACACTCTATCTGTAGACAAAAGTAACATAAAATAAACAATATAAAGCAACTGAAAGTGCTTCAAATAAACGAATCTCTCAACAAACTAAATGTATTACCATCATGTTAGTGTGGAGGGCCTCCACGTAAGCATCATCCATGGGAGAAGGCAACACTCTAGCACTCATTTCTTCAAAGGCTTCAGCCAATGTGTTCATAGTTTCAGGCCCAAGCTTGTTAGCCAATTTCTCTCCATCAGCATTATCACCTAGATAAAACCCACTCTCTAAACTATCATCCTCATTCTCGTCACGACGACCATAGCCTCGTCCTCTTCCCCTTCCCCTTCCCCCTCTGCCTCTCATTGCACCACGTCCACCCCTCCCTCTAAACCCTCCTACCCCTCTCCCACCAACACCATCACCGCCTCCATCACCATCATTGTGTCTCGACAATATCCCTACAGCCTTCTTTACAGCATCCTCCCTACTCAACCTCTGGGGAGGTGGACTGCTCTCCCTCTTCCCTGAATCAGCATCAGCTCTCTGCTGCCGAACCCGGAGATGGCGATTCTCTTCCTTAGGCTTCTCGGATACAGGAGAAGAAGCTGTTTGCAGGGGCTTCCCTCGTCCCGCACCGGACAAAATCGATGTTAAACTAGACGCAAGATTACTATCTTCTCTTTGTTTCGGAGCATCAGAAGAGCTAGGATTTGAATCAGATGTTTCTTCTTCTTTAGCGAAGAAAATAGGTTTCTTCAGCGGCGGCGGCTGCTGATGCTGCTGTTGCGGCTGAGGTTGTAGTGGGGTAAATTGGCCGGGCCCACCTCGGCCACGTCCAGCAGGGGGACTAGGGTTAGAGTTATCCACGAAGGAAGAAAATGACGGGAGAATTGGGGAGGACGGGAATGGTGTACCTCGGCCTCGTCCATGTCCGATTCCAACTGGGGTAGCCGTAGGAGGGGACGGTTCGGGTTTGGATCCATCGGATTCGGGTTTGCCCGGACTGAATCCGAAGTTTGGGGAATCGGAACCTCTGCCCCTGCCTCTACCACCACCACCGCCACCGCTGCCGCCGCCGGAGAATGTGGAAAAGGCGGAGGAAATGGAAGCGGATGGGGCAGTGGGAGGTCTGCCGATGGAGCAGTGAGAAAGCTTGCTCAAGCTTCGTCTCATTTCTTTGTACACTGTTGTGTTAAAGGTAAAACAATGAGATCCCCCGAGGGTTTAACGTCCCAACATAAGATTTAGCCTTTTTTGTTATTTTAGGTTTGGATTTTTGAAAAATAATTTTACTAGGACTAAATTGGATTAAATTTTACTTTACAAAAGATAAGATTTGTTTGTTACAAGTTTATTTTCGAATTACCCAATCCCACTGTAATGAAAATAAATATTCTTCAAAAATATATTTTTTCACCTTTAATTATGAATAATTTTAATAAAAAAATTCAATCAAATCATGTTCAAATTCTAATACAAGGCAGGTTAAGAAAAAAGAGAAAAGGGCAGGTTTAATCCAACTTTTAAATGTAATTCTGAATAAAACTGATTTTTTGTATTTGGTGTGAAAACACAAGTATGGAATAATATGCAATAACCACATTTTATTGGCACTCTTCAAAAAATCATGTTTTCTACGAATAATATTCAATAACAAGTTAAGAACCTTTTACAAAACCATTGAACCATCCCAATCAACAACATTATATCCAATCACTTATGTATGCCTCTTAATATTAAATCACTTGCTTGATTTGATCAAATATATGCCACTCACATTATAATTAGGGATTCATAATTATCTTACATCTCTTCATATATAAACGAGATTTTTACTCGGTTGATACTTGTTTATCATTATAATATCATGGAAGACCATATTATACAAAATAGATGAGATTTATTTAAATATGGTTCAGGTAACTTAATCGGACTGAAAATTCTTGTGTATTAACGAGTAATTTATTTATCGAAAAATCGAAATTTCTTGGCAAAGTTAATTGACTCAATTTTGATCTTTACCAGAAGGATTTACTCTAAATTACTACAAAGAGTCATGTGCCTTGACACTACAAAAGCTCATAAAACTTGTATTGGACTTCATAGAAACTTCTAAAGTTTTTAACAAAAACTTCTCCAATTGAGAAATGCGATTATGTGTACAATGATTATACATCAAGAGCTCATATTTAACAATATGGATTAAATTCTACTATTAATGGTGCTTCGGCAAAGTACTACTGCAAACCAGGAAAGTCTCCTCCTTGCAAGTGTCCGGAGTTTTTATCAGCGCACAGCAGCAGTAGGTAAACTTTTTTTTTTTTTTTTTTTTTTTTTGATCTTTTTGTTTCTTCATTCTAATTAATTTAATACAGAATTTGAACGTGAATATGATAAATGCAAATTAAGCATTGGTGCTAACTCGCCATTTTCTTGATCTTGAAGAATCACAAGTATTTTGGTTTGCTGCTAGTTGGTAATCTTGAAAAGATGTTTCTCTTCAACTGATTTTAGATATTGCATGTTCCACATACATGAAAATTATAAAATGCATTTGTGCCATTTGGCTAATTTTACTAATTTCCGGAACCATGTGGAATTTATTTATTTATTTATTTATTTTTTTTAAATTTAAACTTGATGAATCAATTTTTAAGGTTCTTACAACTGAACATGTTGCACTTGTGGGTAGTCATGAAAATGTCACTTCATTAGTTATCTTGGTAAAGTTTTCACACATCTCTGTTAGATGTGAATACTTGCCTTTGTCACACATCAATGAAGGAAGATCAGGACTTTGGTGAAATGCATCATTTTAGCATATGCCCAATTTGGGAGGTTCTTGCTTTGTTGTTGATCATAACGTGTGTATACCATTGCTATGTTTTTCTTTTAATTTAGGCAACATGCAACTGATAGCACAGGATTAGTGGTAAGATAGATAAACAATTCAGCCATGGCATTTTTCTTTCCATTGGAGCAGGAAAAAGATGAAGGCCGGGAGCCTTGGAGCAACGGTAAAGTTGTCTCTGTGTGACCTATAGGTCACGGATTCGAGCTGTGGAATCAGCCTGATCCTTGCAATAGGGTAGGCTGCCTACATCACACCTCTTGGGGTGCGGCCCTTCCCCGACCCTGCGTAAACGCGGGATGCTTCGTGCATCGGACTGCCCTGAGCAGGAAAAAGATAGTTTGGGTTTTCAGTATCTATCAGATTATAGCTTAGTTAGTTGATATAGTTTATGATTAGGTTGGACCCTAACTCCTGAGTGGACATCCATTTTTGGGATTGAATTACAGTTAATTTGATGTAGTTAAAAACTAGATCCAAAAATAGATCCACTGTTATGTTTGGAACCCTTTTTTCCTTGTTGTTCGATCAATAGGCTTTCTACCAGGAGAAAGCAAGAAATGGAGTATTAAGAAGAGAGGAAGAAGAAATAAGGAAACATGACTGTACTTGTGTTTACCAAGTTTTCATTAACATTGTGAAAGACAATGTTCAAACTTCTTAAACTTGGTAAAACAATAGATAGATTTTAGTTTCATTCCATTCTTTATTGTGCCTAAACTTGGTAAAACATTCTAACTATTGACTCTGTGTTAATTATACTGTAACGATCATAAAAATCTTTTTCTTGCAGAATTCTAGGAGTTCATCGCCTCTTGTTTCTGAACAGATGGATAAATTTGGGAGGGACCACGGAGATGATGAATATTCTGTCGCTGGAGACAAGCAGGAGTTTAGTTTTATTGATTTTGAGGATGATGATTCTGTCTGCAACTATCAGTCAAATGAAGATGAACCGGTTGTTATTTCGAATCCGTTTCCTTTCGTACGTGGAAAGCCTCAATCGGTTTTTGTAGGAGAAACATTTTCATACCCCATTACTTTGGAGAATACAACAAGAGAGTCGGTGCCACTTTGGGTAGTGAAGATTTTCTGTTCAAATCCTGATGATTCTTTCACTTTATCATTACTTAAACCCCCTTCAGTTGATTCAGATGCAAATTATATTCAAAGGTTTTTAAAGGGATTTTCTCTTGATGATAGAACACTCCAGCCACAGCGGCCTCTAACTATTTGGTTAACTTGCAAACCTAAGGAAATCGGTTTGCACACGTCTATTGTGGAACTTGATGTTGGAGACGACAGGATTGAACGCGTGGTTTTTCTACTGGCCGAGGATAAAGTTTCTCAGTCGTTGTCTTCCAGGAAACCATATTCAAGAACTCCAAGACGCGGACAAGAACTACATTTGGAGGTAAAATTAGTCCCTATCTGCAGTATACATGGAAGTAAACTGTGGTCCTTAATTATTTAGGTTGTGGTTCATAGTTTATCTGTATTTTGGTTTATAATGTAATGTCTTTTTCTTTCAGAAGGAAATGAGAAACTATGATACGGTGAATGCCAGAATAAAAATCAGAAGGGATCGCTTATTGGCACTTGAACTCCCAGGGTTGGCTGAGCGAAGGCCAGCCCTTGTGCATGGAGATATTGTTTTTGCCAGACTTACCTTTGAAGACCCAAATCACTCAACTCCTACACATCAGGTTAACCTTTTTATTTTCATTTTAAGGGAAAAATAAGTTACTTTAGTGGAAGAAGCACTTGAAGTTAAATTCACAAATTATTTTTGTTGTTTCGTCTTAAAGACTAAATTAATGAACTCAAATCGGATCTAGAATTCACATTTATAGCTAATATACTCAAAGAAACCACATTTCCAAAAAAAAGCATGTAAAGTTTCTGATTTAGTCTCTTAAATGAGTAACACAAGGATTGCCAGAGCATAACAATAAGTTACATCTTTGCTAGGATATAGTTCTTAATATACATATCATCCTCTTCTGCGAAAATATCTTCTTGAGCAGAGTAATAATGCAATGATTAGGAGAGTTGGCATCTTTCTTTAGCTTCACAGAGTAATGCCAAATATGAGCCGCATAAGTTCGAAGCAGGACGAAAATGATGTAATATTAGCGTAATTTAGCAGACGATCCACTAAAAATACCTTGTAAGTGTCTAACAACAAGTGATGATTTCCAGGGTTACATATACCGTATCGAGGCAGATGAAGTAATCTTGAAATTTCGTGAGTACTTCCAAGTGCAACATCATCCCCGGAACTTGTATGACATTCAGTTTTCATGCAACAGAATTAACATGAGGAGACTATACCAAGCTGTCCAAGCAGCTGAAGGTCTAGACCTGAATCTTCTCTTTCCTTCAGAAGTAATAGAACGGTCGAATAAAGGGACTCCCTTAGTTCCCTTTGCATCTCTCAATCAGAAGCAGCTGCTAGCTGTTGAAATGATTCTTGGTTGTAAGGGCGCACCTCCTTTTGTGATCCATGGGCCTCCAGGTACGGGTAAGACGATGACAGTAGTGGAAGCAATCTTACAACTTTACACTAAAAGGAAAAATGCGTGCATTCTTGTCTGTGCAGCTTCCAACAGTGCAGCAGATCACATACTACAGAAAATTGTTAGCAACTCTGAACGAAATAGAAAGAATAACTTGTGTTCTCATTCCAAGAGGTGAGCAATATAAATACATGTACATCAGATGCTAACTAAGGAAAGAAATAAAAGAGATTCCTACAAATCTGCTATTTATGTACACTACTAAGAAAAAGTCTACATTCATTCTATAATAAGTGTCTAGATTATCCTATAATAAGTGTCTAGATTCATTCTATAACACTCCCCCTCAAGCTGGAGCATATATGTTGATCATGCCCAGCTTGTTACAAAGGTAACCAATTCGAGTACCATTCAATGCTTTAGTGAACAAATCAGCTAGTTGCTCTCCTGTCTTCACGTAGGCAGTGGAAATCAAGTTCTCTTGAATCTTCTCACGAATAAAATGACAGTCAACTTCAATATGCTTGGTTCTTTCATGATACACTGGATTTGAGGCAATCTGGAGCGCAACTTGATTGTCACACCAGAGCTTTGATGGAGTGGGATGCTTCAACCCTATTTCAGTTAAAAGATGGTGTATCCACATTATCTCACATGTTGATTGTGCCATAGCTTTATACGCTGATTCTGCACTGGACCGAGATACAACATTCTGTTTCTTACTTCTCTATGATATCAAGTTTCCACCAACAAATACACAGTAACCAGTAGTAGATCTTCTGTCAATCTTGGATCCAGCCCAATCTGCATCTGCAAAACAATCAATGCGGGAATGCCCGTGGTTGCTATATAATATGCCAAGTCCA